ATCCATTTGTAGTTTATAAGCGCTTAAAACATAACACAGAATTAATTAAAACTTACAACTTTAACAAAGTCTTGCTTTAAAAAGTATTTATACGAAACTTATTTTATTAAATAATTAAAAAGTTAATTAAAGAAATTAAGAAATAGATTTTTTTTCGTTTTACTGTGTTAATTTTCAATTGATGTACTTAAAATGTTTCCTATTTTTGAATTAATTCATTAATTTTTTTTCTTATTTACATATAAGTGTATTTTAATGAGTTTTAATGAGATTTTAAAATCTCATTAAAACTTTTAATATTATTCTTAAATATTACGATAAATCCTTGTATTTTAATATAAAAAATTCGTTAACCCATTCATATTTTTCGAATATTTATATTATAATTTTTAACATTTATCTCACAACCTTACTTAAATTTAAAATCTGCACTTATATTAACAATTAACATTTTAAATTATAAATAAATATATATTATCTTCATTCCATTTTCATTTATTATAAGCAAAATATTTTTCACATTTTCACTCCTGACACAATAATATATATATATATATATAATCTAGCGATCAGTTGAGTAACTTTTCCGGCAAAAAAAATAAACTTTTTAGATTATTAATTATTATAAAGTGGCAAAAAGCTTAATTTCGAGGATAGAGACCAGTTTTATAAAAATTGTAAATGCTAATAAGGAGTAAAATCTCATTAAGTCCTCACTCGAGATATGTCACATATATCCCGGTCTATTTTTCTATCTTCTTAATCTTTAATAGCCGAAATTTAATAGCATAAATGTCTCCAATATAAGAATCTCCCTGCAAAATTTCAGAAATTTTTGACAAAAGGGAGAGCAGTTATTAAGCTTGAAATGAGGTGAACAAAATGATACTTTCATACACACTAACATCCATAAATACAAGAAACCAAAAACACCAATTTTTTTTTTTCATTTCTCGACGTTTTAAGGTCCACTGAGTCCATAAATGTAAAAAATCTTAAGGGTCAATTTTTGACTAACCGGAATATTTTCCCTCTGTTGCCAGGAAAATAAAATTATGCATAACTACAGTAATTTTATATATGGAATAAAATAAAGTAGAAATATAAAATTGAGATTATGAGTGAATAATATAGAAAATCGACATATTTTCTACACGTAATATATCAAATAAATGACAATAAATACATTTTTGTTTTCAAAAATGGATTTATTCCTATGACAAAGTTTATTGTTTAGTTTATAGATTTAAAAAATAAATCTGTTTAACATTTCACTTTAAAAAATATTTTTAAGATATTGTGTAAATTTATAAAGTCTTCTTTTCGTTTTAAAATTGGTAAACTCAACTATTTTTGGACGTTGGAAATTACTGAGACATTTACCTTAATCTAATGGTAATATTAGAAGAAAATAGCCTACTTTTTAAATTATTAATGAAAGGAAATAGTGATTAAAGATAAAAATATATATAATGTAACGAGCAATTATTTATTGTTACATCGTCATAATGCTGGACTGCAATGCTCTCCACCTTCACATTAGTAGTCCTTTGCCCCTGTACACCATATTTTTCCATTAACAATAGAGTCGGCAATAGAATTGAAATCATGTGACTTCCGCTCTAGACCGGAAGTTCTTATATAGTTAATCCGGGTCTCCTGTTCTTAAGTTTTCCCCCATTTCTCATTTAGACTTTCATTAACTCCGTTCTCGATATTAAGGAAAGACAGGCAGACAGACAGACAGATATATAGAATAAAATGTAATTCTAGATATCTAGCGAATTTTATAATTAAATAAACTGTTTTATTTAAGACTTCACACAAATCATTTATAAAATAAAAAGATATAACACTAATTACAAATTAAAATACAATCAATCTCTTGTATACATTGAATAAAATTAGTAAAAATTTTTTAAAAGTTAATACTGTAACGATAAAATGAATAGAAATTAATCGAAATTTTTACTTGAAAATTCTAATTACTCCTTAATTTAAATCTATATTAATTTACTCAGATGAATTCGAGAAAATTGATTAGTTCAATTCCAGTACCACGAACAGTGTTTATCTTTTTAGTTTTAATTAATGCACGTAATTAAATATTATAATTTAAATATATTACTTTTAACACAATGTTTTCTATATAATCATATAGTAAATTTGCTAGATATTCTACTCGTTGATCTAAGTTCATACATTTTCCATACACTTAGCAACTCGCGGCAGGACTATGCACGAAGATTACACTAAAATAATCAAAATAATATTGTAATTTTTAAAAATATAATTTTTTTCGCGTAAAACTTGATTTGATACATTGCAATCTACTATCAAACACCTAGATTTTTATGAAGTATCTTCGATTATTCTGATACTAATAAGATACAGGAATGCTCAGATTTGAAAAATACTTTGACAGTTGAAATTTTTACTGTTCAATAAGATATCAAATCGTCTGAATTACAAGATAAGACCAGGCTTTCTGTTCCAGCCAAGTCTCTTTTATTATCTGACAAAAATATATGAAAGTTTTCCCCAAATTACAAGTACTTATAGCTATAAGAATTTTGCTACCTCTTTCTATTGTATCAGCGGAATCTTGTCTGAAGTTCACCTGAGAGCAAATATGACAAAAAAGCGTTTGACAGACATGACAATTCTTTTTATAGAAAGCGACATTGCAGAAAAGATTGATATAAATATAACTAAGAAAATCTTTGCAGCCATAAAAGCTAGAAAAGTTAAATTTGTGGGTTAGAAAATTAAATGCGTAATGTTTTAAATATGCAGAAAAAATGTTTAAGTTCTTTACTCTATTTTGCTCTATGCAAGAACGATATAAATAAATTTTTTTCACATTTATGGCTATTTTTTTCCGCAATATACTTTGTTGATTAAATGAGTATAGATATGATAGAGAAGCTTTCGATATTTAGAATGATCTTTCTATGATGCTTAAGTGTTAGTATATAAATCATTGCATGCATTAAAATCGCGAGCCAACATAGTAATTGATAAATTATTTAAAAAAACAATTTTTAAAGTGAAGGATGTCAGAAACCATTAATCAATAATGGAATAATTTCGATAGGATTTACTGGAATTTTCATTTAGTGAGAATTGTATGAAGCATAAAAAACTGATGTTTGTCAAACTTATGTCCAATATACAGGAGTGAATACTTAAGTTCTATTGAATTGATGGTTGATTATACTTGCAGAAGACGAGTAAAATATGCCGTAAGAAAAAGAATTTATTGTATGAAATCAGTATATATCGTATTTTAAAAGAGTAAGATCTTTCAAACGATATTCCCATGATGGAGTCAGTTTTATCATCATATAATTATTAAAACGCTTCCTTATTTAAGGTAGTATTTAGTGAATTTTTAAGGAAGTAAAGTTTCTCAGATTTCTTTGCATTATCGAAAGTTTAGAAATTGTCTGTTACTTGTAATTTCGACTCCACTCGATATATGACACGTGACCGCTTCTAACTCTCCATCCCCTCGACCTTTACCACAAAATTTAATGACTTCAATTCCCCTAATTCTCCCTGCAAAATTTCAGAAACTTTCAACAAAAGGCACAGAAATTATTAAGCTTCAAAGTAGGTAAACAAAATCGTGTCTCCCCTCACACTTACTAACATCCATATATACAAAAGAAAATTGCTCAACCTTTTGGGGATTGAGAAGCACTTTTGGTGTTTTCTCAATTAGGTAGAACGCCAATATACGTATGTAGGTGTATGTAAATGTATGATTATATGCATGTGTACATTGATGTGTGTTTTAAGACAGACATACCTGAGTTAATAAAAAGCATATAAATTAGGAAAAACAAATTTTAGTGTAATTTTTACTAATTTACATTATACACTAAAACCTGTTTAAAATGGATCCTCTATAAAACGAAAATAAATCTGGGTTTTAAGAAAATACGTGTGCCGCCATCTGGTATTTGGTAAAACAATAATAAATTATAAAATATTTAAATATTAATATTTGATTTTCAAATGCTTCCCATGAAAAATTTGGGAAATTTAAAAAAAATATATTGCGTAAATTTATAAAGTCTTCTTTTCGTTTTAAAATTGGTAAACTCAACTATTTTTGGACGTTGGAAATTACTGAGACATTTACCTTAATCTAATGGTAATATTAGAAGAAAATAGCCTACTTTTTAAATTATTAATGAAAGGAAATAGTGATTAAAGATAAAAATATATATAATGTAACGAGCAATTATTTATTGTTACATCGTCATAATGCTGGACTGCAATGCTCTCCACCTTCACATTAGTAGTCCTTTGCCCCTGTACACCATATTTTTCCATTAACAATAGAGTCGGCAATAGAATTGAAATCATGTGACTTCCGCTCTAGACCGGAAGTTCTTATATAGTTAATCCGGGCTCCTGTTCTTAAGTTTTCCCCCATTTCTCATTTAGACTTTCATTAACTCCGTTCTCGATATTAAGGAAAGACAGGCAGACAGACAGACAGATATATAGAATAAAATGTAATTCTAGATATCTAGCGAATTTTATAATTAAATAAACTGTTTTATTTAAGACTTCACACAAATCATTTATAAAATAAAANCAATGGAATCATCTAACTTCGTTCATGAGAAAATTTTTAAATTGAAATAACGTAACTTCCGGTTCGGACCGGAAGTTCGTATATAGCTAATTGGATTTCTGGCCCGTAAGCTTTCTATACTTTTTCTATACATACCCTTAGGCAGATCGCCTAAGTATTGCGTTGTCGTAACTTAAACAAACAAACAAGTACTGTAAACTCCAAATACACAGCAATTCAAATTTGGATGATCTAAGTTCAAGCCAGTATTTCACAGCAATACTTACAGATTCAAAATATAATTTACAGAACTATAAAGTATACTATATAAAGTACACTAATCATAATTTCAAAATTAAAAAATTACAAATTCTAAATGTTTATTAGAACATAAACAAAGCAAGGCCGAAAGAACAACAAGAAATTACATTCAAAAGGTTACTATCTATTTTTTAGGCGGCCGAATCTGGACTTTTGAAGCATCGCTGTAATTATTTATAACGAAAACAAAAGAAAATATTTGTACATTACATTTTTATTCTGCTTTTTCATATAATTTTAAAAAATTCAGTAACGAGTAAAGCATGTTATATAAAGCATGTGTAAACTCCTAACATAAGCTTGTAAATTAATAAAATTAAATTTTATCAAGAAAAATTGCTTAATAGGAAGTTTCATATACAATATTATAATACGTATTGAACTTAAATTCATATTCTTTGTAGTAGTCTTATCTTCTTACCTAATAACTCATCAGTTTTTAATTAAGGCAGACAGAGTTCAGTTTCCGATATAGAAATACCTAAAGCTGTCATAGAAGTTCTCAATCCACCAATAATATTTCCTTTCTTCCTTTTCCCCTCACATTTACCAGCTTCTATCATTTGTCTTTCTGTTAGAACTTCGTCCCACATATTTATGTCCGCTATATCACCAATCCACGCTTGATCAGCTTCGTATTTAGTATCGAGATCATCTTGATCCTGCCCGACAACAAATACACCTCCTCCTTTAACATGGTTGCCTTCAGCAAAAATTTCTTTAACGCTATTGTTATAACACCGATGCCCATTCTTGTATACTTGCAGATGTCCATTTGTGCTAAACCATGAAACGCAAAGGTGGTACCACTCACCCACTCTCCATTCTGCATTTGGGCATTGCATTTCCATATAACTTTTTGCGATATTGACACCTACTTTGACGTTTCCATGTTTGTTTGAAAGGCACACAGCAAATTCATTGTTGGATCGAGTGGTCGCGTAGGAAAAAATTGTCGAAAATTCTCTTTGAATCAAGTGCGGTTTGATCCATGAACAAATCGTGAACTCATTTAGAGATGGAAACTGTTGATTGAGACGAAGACGTGGATAGTTTCCGGAGCTGGAACGAGGAATGTGTATCTTGAGTTGAGAATTCTCCACAAGTGACAAAGAAAGAAATGCACATAACACAGCAAACCACATCTTGTTCTCTGTTCTAAACTAAAATATAAGTCAGGATTTTTATGTTTTATAAACATGTACGATGTTAGATCAAAATCAACATCTGAGGTTATCAATGTCGTTCTTAAAACGAACTTTGATATCGTGTAATTTATGTTATGTATGTAATTTTATCATTTTAATTATAACAAATAAGTAAAGTGTAATGTAAAATTGATATCTGTACTTTATATACTGTACTTTAGATTTAATTTGTCTGCTAATATAATTTGTTTACATTACAAATTAAAACGAGACTTTCGAGAAGTGATAGAAGATAACAATACTAACAATATATTGTTAAGTCTATCATAGCAAGCAGTTACTGAAAAATAAAATTTGTCATCAAACGGTCACAGTTTAAGCTTCTCTGTACATTAAAAAATAATAATAATAAAGTATCGCTATACATTTCTACACAGAAGATCTCAGCAGATCCCTTTTATGCCTTAGCGGATCCTTTTTTGCTATCTTTTATTGTTTATTTATTTAAATAGATAAAAATATGTATAATGTTTCTTTATTGATTAAAATCAGTATTAGAAATTTTTTTGTTAATAAAAATAACAATAATTATCGGAGTAGGAAACTATGAATGCCTAAGTTTTCTATTATATCTCCTTCTATAATATTAAATTATGTACAAGGTAATATCTTTGAAAAATCCTACGGTGATGCGTAAAAATCTATACAATAATTTCAATGGAATTATTTAGTCCCAGGATTAAAGGACTATGATTTCTTCAATGACAGGATTCAGAAATATAAAAATTAATTGTATTCAAACGAAATTTTGTGCATGAACTATCTTTTCTTGCAATATATTCCTTTCGGATTAATGGTTTCGTTAATCTAAAAGCTTGGAAATTCTTAGGGCCGTAATATATAAAGTGACAGCATGCTCATTAAAAGTGTGAAGACTTTCACCTTTCAGACTTCCACCCAGCTTGGAACTTTTTTAAGCAATCAGCGTATAGCGCCGAGCGACTTCCACCACTTTCCTGAACTGAAAACGTGGCTAGGAGGGTAGAGGTTCGAGACTAATGACGATCTTCAAAACAACGTTAAGGCCAATCTCAAGTCATTGGCGGCAACATTCTATGAAGAGGGGATGCAAAGCTCGTCCACAGATATGACAAATGCCTTAATCTTCACGGTGATTATGTCGAAAATTAAGCATGTTTGTACAGTACCTAACTTTTGGTAATAAATTCATTTTGTTATTTACACTTGTCTTTGTTTTATGGACAATCGAGGGTTGAAAAAAATCTCATACTTATTTATGTCAGCTGTATTATCTGTGACACGAGTAGAATCGTATTTGCTATCAAGAACATCTTGATCCTGTCCGACAATAAACACGCTATTTTCTTAACATAATCTTATTGTGATAATTAAACTGTGACGCTTGTTTTTACCATAAACATCCAAAATAAATAGCCATTAAATATCGAAATAAACCTGTTTTTTATAATATTCGAATATCTGTCGCATAAGAAATATTCTACATCACAGTTTATGGTCGAAGTTATTTTAAAATATACTTTGTTATTATTTAATTTATTTTATATAATTTTAATTATTCCAAGAAATCTAAAAGTTTGGATGTAATTTTGATTTATCATTTAAAATATGTTATTTACATTTACACGAATAAAGTAAAATTTTTTGAATTGCGCCTAAATCTGCTATATTAAATAATTCATCTATATATGATGTACCACATTATTTAAGTTAGAAGTATTTGAACAAACAAACAAACGTTATATATATATATATATATATATATTTTTTTTCTTCTTTTGTATTAATNTATATATATATATATAAAACGTTTGTTTGTTTGTTTGTTCGCTATACACTCCTAGGCCGTTCGACCAATTACTACGAAACTCGGCTTTTACGTTCAAATACTTCTAACTTAAATAATGTCGTACATCACATCCTAAAATATCTATTGAATTTCTGTAATTTAATTAATTTCCATTTAAATTCAATTTGCTTATTTGCACGTAGCGCCATCTATTGGCAAAAATTTAACAAAATAATAAACTAAATATAATTCTTACAAAAGAGAATATAATTTTTAAAAATATATAGTATATACACTTAATTACTGCGACAATGATATAGCGTGAAACAGTTGCGCTATATCATTACTGAGACAGGTAGCATGTAGCACTTGCCTGCGTGAAATCGAAAGTGTTACTCTGCGAAGAGTCTATTCTATAGTAATTATATAAATATTTAATTTTCCATATCTAACGATTGGAGTTTTTTCATTTCTGAACGGTACTTCTTAATTCTAATAAGCGTCCTACAGTAGCCGAGCGCATAAAATCACCGAAGGCTGGTCGTGGGTTATGGCGTGGCCAACGGGCTGGCCACGTAGATTTTTCCGGGTTTTCTTTATGTTAATAACACCTAAATAAGGTCCAGCTTCTCATAAAAGTCTTCTCGGGATGCATCCTCTTCAGCAGATCGCTTACATTTCTCATTGCCGTAACAAATAAACTAAACTAATTCTAACCAGCGATTATTTATTATGATGTCAAAATGCCGTGCTGTAACTTTGCGTCAAAATTTTCTCAACACTTTTAGTGGTGTCTGGCATCTGTACATCATACTTTTCCTTTAACAATAGATCGTGTCGGTTATCTAACTTCGTTCAGGGGAAAATTTGGATCGAAGTAACGTGACTTCCGTTCCAAATTGGAAGTCCTTGTATAGTTAATCTGGGCTTCTTATCCTTACGCTTTCCACATCTGCTCTCGACTTTCATCTATCTAATTCTTTCTCGAGATTAAGAAAAGACAGACAGTCATAGGAAGGACAGTGGAAATTTAAGGTCTACAGTTTTTTCAAATTGCAGCTTAATAATTTTTCTATAAACGCAATGTTTACGAAAACATACTACCCACGTAGTTTATACAATCTGTTGCAAAAATTTAAACACTTTATTATAGCATTTTTACATGATTTTTTTTATTTAAACAAGTTTGATACGAAGTTTTTCGGAGGATAAACTTCGCAACTTCCATTACGTGCGGGGCCATCACAACCTGTCTAACACCAATCACTTTTCAAATATTAATAGTAGACAAGTATTAATTAGTGGTCGTTGACCATCATATCTTCCAAGAGGGGGTCAACTACTATTTTTGATCGAATTATCTCAACCCCGTTTCTCAACGGCCCTTCCTTCTATCGGATTCGCCTGTATGGTGGCATTCATATAGGAAAATTATATAATACAAGGTTACTGGCGAGCACAAAATATAATTTAAGTGTCTACTTGACCAACGAAATTTTGCCATTTCGTACCATTCGAGTATCGCGATAAACTTGACAATAGTAGATTAAAATAACCAAACTCTTTATATGATTTTCCTTTTAATGTTCGTTATATCATAGTATTTGATTTATATAACTACATAGGTTATCTTCCGTTTACCACACCGAATTTCTTATAATATTTTAATAAACAAACGTATTTATAAAAATTATAATCTAAAATTAATATGTAAACAGTAAACATTACTAAGTAATCATATCATAAATATGAAGTTCTTCCTTCAACGGAATTATATCTCTTGTTAAAATTCAGAGAATTATTAATCTGATATGAATGAAATGTTTATTAAATTCAAAAGAATTATTTCGAGGTTAAATTAAGACATGTTAGTTGAACAAGCTATGAAAATCGTAAAGAGTTAAACTCTACATACCAAAAGAAGCAAGTGCCTGTTTACAACAGCGCATTTTTTAAGGGAAACATTTCGAAATAAAAGGTTAATTTTATTAAAAAAATCGTGTTATTCCACACACACTCTATTCATACTTACAGGAAAAAAACCCAACTTTTTTTCATGCTCGAAGTTTCAAGGCATTTTTGGGTCCACAGAACCCAAAAATGTAAAAAATTGGGGGTCTTCGTTTGACCGACCGCCATACTTTTCCACTGTTATCTAACAGCCGGAAAAGTAAAATAAAGCCAATAAAAAATTTTAAAACTCTTGAAATAAATAAATTGTATTGATTACATTATTCAATTGAAACTCCTTTATCGTGGGATGCGTTAATCACAGAAAAGCTCGGAGGGGTGAAAAAGAAGCAAATCGCCGGTTGTGCTGATTATGCTGCCATCTGATATTAAACAAAACAACTATTTAATACTTAAAAATATAAAAAATATTTTAAATTGTTTTAAAATTTTTATTATTTAATATTTAAACTTGAAATTTAAACAGTTTAATATGATAAAATTACATTAATTTTATATTCTTAAATTTTTTAAATATAAAATTAAATCATTTCATTAATAATGTAAATATAATTTTTATGTATAATGTACTTAAAATTTTATAATTAACATAAAATTATTTTAAAGGTTTAAGGTATTTACAAAAACGTGCATGAATAAAAAAACCTTTATCCCTGTCATTTATGACCACAATGGGAGCTGGGTGGTAAGAAGTTAATATTTAGAACATGTGATTCAAATTACTTTATTTTGTTTAATTTAATTGTTTAATTCACAAAAGTAATTTATATAATTATTTAGAAAAATAAATAAAATATACTTACACTTAAGGGAAAAATTATGGTGAATATGAGAACAACTTGTCAAGAAATAGCGCGAATTTTTTAATTCAGAGAACAAATTCGGTAAAATAAGGCTAAAATTTAAAAACTAGGAGACGGGTTTCCAAAAACTGGAAAAAGTTTTTTTTTTAAATTTCATCGACGAGTTGCGTAACTTTCCAGGCAAAAAAAGTTGAAATTGTGCGTGGCGTCATCTCTTATTAAGTTTTGTTTTAAAAGTTTTGATATTATTAATCAGTATAAAATGGCAAAAGCTTAATTTTGAAGATAAAGAGGATTTTCATTATAAAAAATTGTAAATGCTAATAAAGAGTCTTCATTAAGTAAACACTCTACTATCCGCAGCCTTTAATCACGAAAACTTAATAGCATTATTGCCTGTATGCAAAATTTCAGAAATATTCGACTAAAGACACAGGAATTATTAAAGTGGATGGACAAATTCGTGCAACCAGACAAAACGCACACGCAAACTGGATGCATACATTCAGAAAAAACACCCAAATTCTTTTTCATTTCAAACACCCAAATTCAAAAATGTAAAAATCTTGGGGATGGCTCATTTTTGATCTATCGCCATACGTTCTCTCTGCTGTATATAACAGCCGAAAAAGTAATTAATTTTGTGTAATTCGCTAGATTTGTAAACTATGTGAAATGTCTTCGTTAAATAGAAATAAAGGGTGTAACATTATTTATTGATATTTGTATGGTGTGTCATATAATCATAATGTTAAATTATTACATAATCTCGCTTTGACGAGTCATAATTATGAGAACTGAGACTCCAAGAAGAGTTCAAATGCCATCATTGCAGCGAATTAGGATAGAATACAATCACTTTTAATTACCGAATAATTATTTTAACTATGAATTAAAATTATAAATCAGCTTTCCAGATATAAATTTCCATTTCTTAACGAGGACAAAACTTAATTCGTGGAAGGTTGTGAAAGGAAACCAAAGATTCCATGCATCGTTCTAATGTGTCTGTATATGGTCTGTGGCATTCCACTTCAAACATTTGCAAATTTAATTATTTTTTAATATTTTGGGTTTCAAGTATCCTTGATAAGCAGAGCTGTATGAGAAGATTTATTAACATTCACTTAAAGAAGTTGTAGCTTAAGAACGCTTAAGAACATTCCAGGAAGCTTCCGTAGAACTCAGAGTACCTACGAGTAGTCATAGTGCCTTTTTCAAAACACATTTTTTCATTTTCATTTTTATTTTATTTACAACTTGTTGGAGTACAACAAATCCTGGCGCTATATACATATAGCCAGGTGAAAAGCGGAGTTGATGGTTACATAATAACGATACATTTAGTAGGATAAAATACATAATAAGGGAATAGGGAAAAATGGGAAAATATAAAAGTATAAAGATATAAAGGTATGAAATATGAGACAATAAAATTAATGGGTACATAGCAGTAAGAAGAATTATACATACATATAATTTGTACAAAATATACATATAGATAATTACATATCATTACAGTGATGCGAAAATAAGTGATATGAGATGCTGAGGTTAGTGATACAGTTATAAAAATACATAATATCAGGATGATGTGCAATAAAGGCACAGAACACAGTAAGTGAGGTTTCAGTTGAAAGCAGCAACAGTAGTCCTTTTAAAGTACATGTCAATGAGGTGAAGTAGTGCAGCATAGGTGTCACTATTGTTCATAATTCCGTGGAGGTTTTCAGGCCAGTGATAACCATGTGTCTCCATGGAGGTGCGAAGAAGGTGTCTCTCAAGCTCAAGCATTGGGCAGGTGAGTAGATAGTGAAGGCAGCCGTCTTCGACATCGCAAAGGGAACAGCTGAAGGTTGGAGAGTTAACAAATCTAGCCAGGTAGGAATAGAAGCGTCCGTGATTGGTAAGAAATTGGCTGGTACGTTGGGTCGGTCTATACCAGGGGATAGCAAGGAAGGTCTTGATGTTAGGAATGAGTTGATGGGTGATGGGATGATTTTGTCTGTCCCAGTCCTCCTGCCAAAGATCGAGGAGGTCGTTGCGAATGATGTTTTTTATAGTTTTAATATTGATCTTGCTGTAGACAATTGGAAGGTTGTTGTCTTCACAGGCGCTCTTTGCGAGTTCATCGGCCCTCTCGTTACCGAGAGTGCCCTGGTGGGCACGAGTCCAGTAGATGGAGTAAATGTTGCTGGATTTGTTGATGTCACTATGGATGCTGGTGGAGATGGGGTGGTCACAATGGTTTTTTAAGGCTGCAATAGAGGACTCGCTGTCGGTGATGATAGTAACAGTCTGGGAATCATAGTTCGAGGCAGTCCAAGCCACGGCCATGCTTATCGCGTACATTTCCGCCTGAAAGACGGTACAGTCTGCACCAAGTCTGTACCGCTCAGACGCAATTTCGGTGTTGTTTAGGTAGGCGACAAAACCGCTACCAACATTATTGTTACATTTAGACCCATCAGTATAGACTGTTAAATCGGTATGCTCAGGCTGGAAGAAGTTTAATTTATTAGGGATAGCAGGGTGATTGGAACGAGAGAAGTGGATGGCGCACTCGAGGTCGTGATGGTTAATTTCCTGTGTAGCTGTATGGATAGTGCTGCCCCATTTAAGATGCCAAACTTTAGTTTGTAGGGAGATATGTTTGTCAATGGGCATTTTTCTTGCCAGGACTTGAAGAGAGGAGTTGGGTGTCGTTCTATAGGCCCTCGTAATGTGCAAGAGGGCTTTGCGTTGTGCGGCGATGAGTTTTCTTTTAATGTGAACCCTGCAGGTAGACCATCCCCAGCTGCCACAGGCATAGGTAATTATGGGGACAAAGATTTGGTTGTAAATGGCATCCATGGCCTCAGAGGCCAGGCCCCAGCGTCCACGAGCAATGCTAGCAAAGGTGTTGCAGATGTGTCCTGTGTGCTCGGTGATGTATTCAACGTGAGCATTCCACAGCAGCCTGTGGTCGAGTACAATGCCCAGGTACTTGATTTTCTTTTCAACGGCAATGGTTTGTCCCCGCATTTTAATGGTGGGGACTCTAAGGTAAAGATTCTGCTGGCCAGGTCTATTAAAAACGACACATTTAGTTTTTTGTGCGTTAAAAACGAGCTTGTAGTTTCTTCCCCAGTTTAAGATCTTATCAAGTATGGCGTTGCCGTCTTTTTCAATGGCTGCACGAGAGCGGCTTCCAAGGAGCAGAAAAACATCATCGGCCTAGGCCACTATATCATGGTGCCCAAAGTCTTGCTGGAGAAAATCGTTGAAGTAAATGTTCCAGAGTGTTGGTCCACAGACCGAGCCCTGAGGGCAGCCACGGACAACAGANCCAAACTTTAGTTTGTAGGGAGATATGTTTGTCAATGGGCATTTTTCTTGCCAGGACTTGAAGAGAGGAGTTGGGTGTCGTTCTATAGGCCCTCGTAATGTGCAAGAGGGCTTTGCGTTGTGCTGCGATGAGTTTTCTTTTAATGTGAACCCTGCAGGTAGACCATCCCCAGCTGCCACAGGCATAGGTAATTATGGGGACAAAGATTTGGTTGTAAATGGCATCCATGGCCTCAGAGGCCAGGCCCCAGCGTCTACGAGCAATGCCAGCACAGGTGCATATCATAAATATGAAGTTCTTCCTTCAACGGAATTATATCTCTTGTTAAAATTCAGAGAATTATTAATCTGATATGAATGAAATGTTTATTAAATTCAAAAGAATTATTTCGAGGTTAAATTAAGACATGTTAGTTGAACAAGCTATGAAAATCGTAANAAGTTGATGGAGAAGAAGCGGCCACCAGGCACTGTCAAACGCTTTAGCGATGTCAAGACTGATGGCCAAGACATATTTGTTATTTTGGAGGAGGTGGTAAATGTTGTCAATAACCCTATGGATGGCATCAGAAGAGGATTTCTGTGGACAGAAACCGAATTGCGAGTTGTGCAGTATGGAGTTGTTTTCCAGGTACCAAACAAGCCTTTAAGAAGCCGTTCCAGGACCTTGCCAAGAACCGGCAGGAGGGAAATCGGTCTGCTTTCATTAGTGTGTCCAGGTTTGGGGACAGGACAATTCTAACCTTTTTCCATGTTTGGGGAAAAACACCATGGCGGAGACAAGCATTATAGAGGTTTGTCAGCTTAGTGGGGATGAGGTTCCAGAGGGTCTTAGCCATCTCTGAGGTGATGTCGTCATGGCCCGGGGATTTCTTATTGCAGAGAGTGGAGAAAGCCCTGTCGATCTCATGAGTTTGAAACTCAGGATCAAGAGGAGTGTTAATATCATTGTCTGCACTTTGGCGAATGTTGGTTTAAAAGTTGTTGTCCTGGTCGCAGGGGTCCTCCAGGCAGAAGTTGTCTATTTTCCTGTTGGCGGCAGTGAAGAAGTCTTCGTCAGGAGTGTTAGAATAAAGAATTTGATGTTTTTTGAGTCTTCCAGTACAGAATTTGGTGATGAATCCCCAAGGACTTTTGGTTGCCTCTGCGCAAAATGTTGTCCAAGTGTCTTGTTTGGCCAGCTTGATTTTATGTTTGTAAATGTGGAGGTGATTGGTGTACTGCTGCTTGAGGATATTACGTTGAGGATTAATGTGGCATGTCTGATAAAGTTTTCTTAAGCGGATGTGTTCTTTCCTGAGATCGGTGAGCTCAGATGTCCACCATGGGACAGATTTACGTTTGTTGGCAGACATGGGAATGTATTTTCTGCAGGTACTGTCGATGATATTTATGTTGTCTTCAATACACATCCGGGCAAGTTCTGGGTCGTCATGATTACATTCAAGAAGGTTAGTTTCAAGGGTATGTTGGATAGCGGCCCAATTAGCACGTTTAATATTATATTTTGGGCGAGAGTGAGAGTTGATTGGAGAAGTGGCACTGATGGTAAAAGAAATAAGGGCATGGTCGTCCATAAAGTCCTCATGTACCTTCCAGTGAAGGATGAGTGGGAAGCAACCGGTGGAGCAAGCAGTCACATCTATCCAACTACGACCCTGACTAGAAGTGAAAGTTGGTGGGGAAGATGGGTCGTTGATTACAATGAGGCCGTTGCGGGCAAGAAACTCTTCCAGGAGGCGTCCACGACTGTCGAGACGCTCACCACCCCAAGTGGGGGAGTGGGCATTGGTGTCTCCAGCCAAAACAAAGTGCACTCCACTGAAATGGTCCATGATATCTTGCATAGTGTTAAGAATGGTGTTAATATTTAGATCTTTTGGACAGTAGAAGTTGATGATGATGTAACGTTGGTTGTCGATGACAAGCTCAGTACAGCAGATATGTTGTGTGCTAAGAGTCGGGTGGTGAAGAAGAGACAGGCCGTTATTGTTGGAGATAGACAGGGCCCAAGGGTAATTGTCGGTGCCACTGAGCGGAATGCAGTGAGTGGGAAGACAAGCAGGTTTGTTCCTAATGCAATATGGCTCCTGTAAAATGATGAAGTCGTAGTTGTGGATGAGGCTGGTAAGAATGGAAGTTGCAGCGATGCTTCTTCCGGTGTTGAACTGTAGAAAACGTATGTTATTATTGTTTTGATGACCCATAATCGGTTTGCCTTATGAGATTAGATTTAATTTTCTGGTATATAGTACAGGAGCCATCACGAGCGTTGTGGTTTGTGTTGCCAGTTTTCTCGAGTTTGCAGTTCGTGCAAGTAAGTTTTTCATTCCTCTGTGTGCATTCCTTGAAGGTGTGCTCACCAGAGCAATGGCTGCAAGTAGCGGTGAATTGGCTGCAGTTCTTCGTGGAATGCCCGAATCTACAGCAGCGGAAACACTGTGGGATGGGGCAGAAGTCTGTTACTCTACATCTGGACCACTCCAGATTAACTTTCCCCACAATTAGTAATTGTTTCCTCAAGAGTGGTGTGACCTGGATCACCCAGTTGGTATAGGCGTTGCTTTTTTTACCCGTGGCAAATTTTACATCGAGTGCCTCTCTGAAGGCTTCCAGTGTGTAGTTATCAGAGATAGCATCATTTTGGTTGTAAATTAGCTGTGACAGTTCCTCACGATTAATTTGAGTGGGAACAGAGTAGATAATGAGGTTTGGCTGACGTTTCCTGGGTTTTTTAACGTTTACCTCAGGAATACTGTTCTCAATATAGACCTGCAACTTTCGAGCGTCCTCTTCCTTTTTTAATTCGATGGCAACACCTCCTCCGCCGATGTTGCGAATTTTTTCCACGCCGATATTGAGAGAAGAGGGCTTTATTTTTTCAAAGATAATCTTTATGAGGTTGTTGCAACTTTTGTTTTCACTGTTATTATATAGCAGCAACACCTCAGTGCTATTGGCAGGTGTCTTTAGTGGTTTAATGTTGGGCGTAGGGTTGACAGTCTTGCCCGATTGTAGGACGGCACTGTACGATAGGGTTGTTATATCCTGGGAAGGTTTGTTATTGTTTGATAATTTTTCGAGCCTCTCTCTCAGATGTTTTTGATTTTCAAGAATATCAGTGAGGAGGCTATTGTTGAAAACTTCTTCGATTTTATCTGTGATGTTCTCCATATGTGAATTTTGAGAACCGGGCTTGATAGTATCAGTAATTTCTTTCACGTGAGTGAAGATTCTGTTGCTGTTGTTGTTGAGATCATCAATTTTGGCGATGATCTCGGATAACTTGTGATCGAGATCACTAGATATGGGATCAGGAGTGCCATGTGATTGTGGAGGCAAAAGAACAGGCATTGGCGGAGTCATGCCGGTGAGAAGGACCTCGCTACAGTTTGAGTTCAGTGGTCTTCTGTTGGTGGGGGTGCCAGGAGTAGAAGAGGTGGAGAAGGCACAGGCGGACTTGCCATCTCTCTTGTTCTTATGAGGCAATGTGGTGGAGGAGTTGAGGAAAGCACAGAATGCGTGTTCCTTAGTCAGAGAAGTGAGTTTTTTGTTAATTAGAGTGCTTTCTTTTAATAATGAGTTCAGGGAAGTCTCAGCAAGATCAATGATTTTTTGAATTTTAGTCGGTTAAATATTTGAGATGTTCTTCAGTTTAAAAGCGTCCGTAGGGATTGTCTGCACAGTATCCCTTCACCTCATCAGAAACCCTACAGGCCTTGTCCAAAAAGGTAGACACGATAGTTGACTCCATGTCGAGCAGTTGAGGGAAAGCACAAGAAGGATGCACAATAAAGTCGCAGAACAAACTGGTGAGTCCAGAAGACCGGAATGTAGCACATTAACACTAGAACGCCGTTCGGCGCGAAGTAATCCGATCGGCGAGAAGCCGGAAAAAACACAGGAATTGACGCGAAGACGCAGGCAAAGCGCGTGACAGAGAGACTACTAGGGATTGCCAAATACCGAAGGCCGAAAGCGAATGACCGAGACGAGACCCGCTACGCGCAAAACGCCGAACAGCGTAGGAATGCCGATCGGCGAAACCCAGCCAAATCAACAAAGAAAACAAAATCGGCAGAAAACCGAAACAAGGACAAAAAACAGAATAAAGCAGATATAATACCGCCACAGGGCATCACAAAAACACGATAAAAGGCCCGCCAAACAAAAACGTCGCCACGAACAAAGCCCCGCCGAAAGGTTACCAGACCACGTGGAGCATAGACACTACTTTGTCTAACGGTACAAATAAAATCGCGTGTAGCCCGTGAACAAATAATGATAGTGTAACAAAAATTACAGAAACTAAAGACGGTCGAGCACGCTATCGAACATCGTCGCGATTGCGGGCCGATCGCGGGCTGGGAATCCGATGCTGCCGACAGAGTCCGAAAAAAAACAAACGCCGATAAATAAAAAACTACTTAACCGATTTAGGTAAAACAGACACTCGCCGTTGGCAGATGAGTAGTACTATCCAACGCTGTATAGAAAACGAAGATCAGACGAAAACTCTCTGAGAAAACGCAGATTAAAACGGAGCCGAGATACACCACTACAGCTCTGTCCGCTGGACTCGAATCACTAGTCAACATAATACAGTCGACCCCCCTATAACACTATTGATAATTCCGTTTGATATGAATTTCATGTTGTACGAGTCAGTTAAATTTTACAAATAGGTGTGCCGGGCT